GTTCAAGATTCATATCAAGAGGTTTTTGGATTCTTGTTTCACAAACATTTCTATCCTCTTTATGCATGGTTTTGTTTGCCATAACCCAGGGCCTTTGCACTGAGCTGCATCACCCAGCACTTGCTTTATTTATTTGTTTATTTATTTGTTTGTTTATAGACAGGGTCTGGCTACATTAATAAATAGCCCCTGACTGGGCTCAAATTCGCAATATTCCCTCCCCAACCTCCCAGAGTGCTGGGACTACTGGTGTGTACCACCCTGCCTGCATATTTTTAAAAATCTTATATTTGCTACAGAGCCCCTTTCCCACATTCAATCCCTTGTACAGGGCCCCATTTCTCTTGCCTTTCTCAGAAAACTGATTCAGAGCTATCAAACTTTTGTCTTCTAAATTATAATTCCTAAGATCACCCAAATAATATCCTTTAATTTTTGTTTGTTTGCTTGTTTTGTTTTGTTTTCTGAGGCAGGATCTCACTATGTAGCTCATAATGGCACAGAACTCCAGAAATCCTCCCATCCCAGCCTCCCAAGTGCTGAGATAAAGCATGTGGTGGCATGCACCACCACACAAAGTTTCTCAGGTTGGATTGATTCACAATCTCCAGCTCATTTGAGAATTTCATTTTGGCATTCACAGGGTGAGGAACACTGGGGAATTTACAAAAGTGCATTAAAAGGGTCAAATTTTCCCCAAATCAAATGCATCTCAATGACTATTTCTGATTCACAAATTTCTAACCCATTTCCTGAAATAATGCCATTAATTACTTTTTTTTAAATTTTAAATGTTTGAACAAAGTATTTTTCTTGGTCAGATTCTCAGTTTAGGAGTAAGTTTGGAGATACAGGATTATCTCAGTGTTTCTACATTCTTTAGACTACCCTGTTTTATATCAACATCCAAATTTTCAAATCAATATCCTCATCTTGTTTCAAGAAATTAACTTTCTTGTGTTCTCTGTTTTGTCTGAGACAGGGTCTTCCTGTGTAGCTCAAGCTGGCCTTGAACTCACTATGCAGTTGGCCTGGAACTCGTGGTGATCTCCTGCTTCAGCCTCAAGAGTGCTGGGATTATAGGCATGTGCCACCATGCCCAACTCTCGTGTTCCCTTTCTGCCTTGTATTTGAAGAGTTTGCCTTCATCACTTGTCTCCTCTACCCGAATCCTGCATACCATCTTCATAAACATAAATAAAATGAGGCAAGAGAATGAAGGGTGGCAAACTGGCTGGGGAAGTGGGCGTGATCTGCTAATTACAAAGTTCTATGACACAGGCGAAAAATAATTCCCAGAGGCCTACACTTACAGCCAATCAGAGAGTGTGGTCTCCAATTCCTCTTAGGAGAACTTCAACAAGTTTTCCATAGAAAAACCTAGACCTGACATTAGGCTGAGAGGTAGGAGACACAAAAGGACAGCGAGGCTCGGCCCTGCTGTGTTCTTGCACAGTATTCTGCTCTGGTGCTACAGAGTGTACTTTCCCCTAATTTTAATTGCCCCACACTTGCTCTGCAGAGCACATTTCTTTTTCTAGCTTTAATAAATCTAAAACCTCACTGCCTTTTGTGCTCATCTTAACCAATTCATTGCTCAGGAAACCTAGAAACCACCTCTAGAAGGAGACTCCACCCCAGAAGCCAGTAACAGTATTCTCATGTTCTCATGTTTTGTTAATTTCTGTAGATTAGTGAAATTATATTGGATCCACAGGAAAAAAGAATTTGCCTTTTCCAATCAATTTTCAATGAAAGGGAAACAGAATTGAAGCTAACAGGTTAATTATTTGCATAAATATAGAAGATCTAAAGAAACACAGGTTAGTTAATAGTTACTAGAAATTAGTTATCATAATACAAATGATAATGAAAAACAATTCAATTATACAGATATTATGTGCTTACCAAAATTTCTCTCCCAGTCAACAAATGATTAAAACATAAGCATGCATGCTACATAAATGAGAAGAATTTTTTTTTCAGCTTTAATTGAGTTTATTGGTACATTTTAGGGATACAGTACAGTTACATTCATTGTTGGGATCTTGTACCTCTACATGACAAGTCTTAATTCTCATTTTTTCCCCTTACCTCTGCCCTCCCAGAATTTTTTTAAGTAAAAGTGCCGGGCTTTGAAAAGCTAGGGCCTGGCTTTTTTTTTTTTTTTAAGACAGGGTCTCGCTGTGCAGTTTAGACTGGCTTTGAACTCACTATGTAGTCCAGGCTGGCCTCAAACTTGTGAAAACCCTCTTGCCTCAGCCTCCCTAGTGCTGGGATTACAGGTATGTGCCACTACACCCAGCCACAAAACAGTATTTTAAGTAACACAGTGTATTCTAGAATTTCTTTTTCTTTTTTTTTTTTTTTTTTTTTTTGGTACTGGGGATCAAACCCAGGCCCTTGTGCTTACCAAGGCAATCGGAGGCACCACTGTGCTAAATCCCCAGCCCTATACTAGAATTTCTTGATTTTCCATTAAAACTAATACTGAGGGAGCTGTCCTATTTAATTGTTCAGTGAATTCAGAAACAATATAAGTTCAAAACAAGTTTGGGGGCAGCCACTTTACACTGGTCCATGTTACACTGGTCCATGTTCAAAGCTCCGGCTGCCTCAGCCGCTCACTTCCTAAATGGGTTGGTCCTCCAGCACTATGGCTCCAAGCCACCTCTCTCTTCAAGCTCTGTCAGGTCATCCTGGTCTTCTTCTTCCACCTAGTCCCCTCTGCAAAGATGGTGGACCATGAGTAACTTGTGCAGGAAGCCCGGCTGGTGATGAAGAATGTGACAGGTGAATGAGCCATTGTCCAGTGAAGAAGGAAACATCCTGTCTGTGGCCTACAGGAATGTGGCTGGGATGTGCCATTCTTCCTGGAGGGTTAGCAGCAGCATTGAGCAGAAGACATGCAGGTGGCAATGAGAAGATAGAGATAGTTCACGCTTACTGCGAGAAAATAAAAAAGGAGCTGGAGGCAAGGTGTCAGAATGTGCTGAGCCTGCTGGATAACTACTTGATCAAGACTTGCAGCGAGACCCAGTAAGAAAGCAGTGCTCTATCAGAAGATGAAGGGGAACTATTACCACTACCAGGCCAAAGTGGCCCCAGGGTAGAAGAGGGTGACTGTTGTGGAATCCTTGAAGCAGGCCTACAGCGAAGTCCATAACATCATCAAGGAGCACATGCAGCCCACCCACCCCCATCCAACTGGACCTGGCTCTGTTTTTTTTTTTTTTTTCTGGTACTGGGGATTGAACTTGGGACCTTACACTTGCAAAGCAGGCGGCAGAACCATAGCTAAATCCTCGGCCATGGACCTGGCTCTTTACTACTCCATTTTCTACTAAGAGATCCAGAATGCCACGGAGCAAGCAGGTCTGTTCTCCTGCCTACAGGCCAGCTATGGCATGTCGAGACATAACTCCATTTTGGTTTCCAGTCACAGCTAAAAACCTCAATGGTCCGGTGATGCTGTGATGCTCCAGGACAAGATTACACCAACTGAAGACATCACAATAGGAACAAAATCTTCATCTGCGTGGTTCCTTGTTCTAGGATCCCTCCCCCACTCAGGCCTCTGTTACATTTGCTTCTCCCCATGTACTGAACTCTCTGTCCTGAGTCATTTGTTACATTTGTGTCTCCCAGTGTACAGAATAAAAGGTGGCAGGTTTGGGGGCTTTCGTCTTTGCCGCCCAGAGCAGCATTGATTGGGCCCAAAGCTCAGCTTCTTCTCAAAGTCTCATTTTTTCTACCTTTTTTGTATAATAAGTCAATTCATCTTGTGCTGTCGTGGCTCGAAGGAGACTAGGACTTACTACAGAGGTTCTAGGAATATTCCCTACAATGTTTAAATACCACATTGCTTCTCTGGAATGAGAAACCAAAAGTGGAAATAAGGACTGAAATATATAATAGATATTGGGAAATGGAAAGAAAATGTTCCAATGGAAGGGCAACAAGAAAGGGGGAGGGTGAAAGACAGTACCAAGAAAAAAAAAGAGAATAGAAGGAAAAAATGGAAACAAAGCTTTTGTAAATAAGGAGGGGAAGAGGGGTCGAAAGGAAGGGAGGAGAATGGGGGAAAAAAGCAAGATATGCCACGTACAGGTACAAAGTCCCTATGATGAATATTATCATTGTGTATATCTAAAATGTACCAATAAATGTTTTGCTTCACAAAAAAGAAAAATTTTTTTCTGGCTGTGCATGGTGGGGCACACTTATAATGCCAGCACTCTGGGAGGCTGAAGCAGCAGGATTTCAAGGTTGAGCCGAGCCTGGGCAATTTAGTGAGACCCTGTCTCAAAATAAGTAGGTGTCAAGATGATCACAATAAAGATGAGGGATCCAGCTTAATTTTGAACATAGCAAACACAGCTGGGGTTTTATACACAGTGATCAGAGTGAGAAGGTTAATGGGTAGGCTATTATCAAGAGGAGTCATCCGGGGTAGAGTTATTCTTGCTAAGCTGATCTAACAGGACTTTTGCTGAAGCAAAGCCTGGGTAATCAGTTATCAAAGATGAAGGAGAAAGAATTTGGATAGCGAGGGTAACCAGATATTGGGGATGGGGAAAACTCTGACTGCACTGACTTAGCCAGATTCTTATTACAACTGGATTAGGCGGGCCAAACACAGGGCCTAAAGGGGGAAGCCTAGTGAAAAAGAGCTTCAGAGGTGCCTCCTTACTAAAGATTGGTCAAGAAGAGAGTCTTTGTCAATACCCAACAGGTTTTCCCTTTATACCACCATGTGCCACCCCTCCACCCATTCCTCCAGTCCTTAGAGTTTTTAAAACAGAATGAAGAAATTATGGAAAAAAAAAAGAAATTATGGTTATGTAAATTCTAGGGGAACAGGAGGTGCTCCAGGCCTCAGTTGGGGAAGGTAACAGACTACAACTCCCATAAACTCTAGCGGGGCTGCGACCCAAGGGTTCCGCCCCCAATTCCCGAGCCAGTGCGCCTGCGCGGAATATACAGCGCTAAGAGAAATAGGCGGGGACAGGATGACGCGCGGGGAGGAGGGGAAGGAGGAGGAGGAAAAGGGAAAAGAAAAGGAGGAGGAAGGAAAAAAAAGAGACCATAGATTTCTTCCTCAGCCTAGAGAGGTCCTTAAAGTGCAGGGGACTGGAGGGCGGGCGGGGACCACCCCAGAACTGGCCGCCGGCGGTATCATGGCGTCCCGGAACCCCCCTCCCCAAGGTGAGCGGCCAGGGCCCGAAGTAGTGTCTGAGACGCATTTCATAGCTCTCGACCTTGGTCCCCGGCGTTTTCAGGGTACCTGGGGTTTTGTTTTGAGGAAGCCCCTTTAAGCAACCCCTCCGAACTAGACTTCATGCTGATTCTGCGAAACTCGGGCAAAGACGATCTCTTATCCCCCAGCACAGCCTTAAGCTGCCTTGTCTTCACCTCTGGCCCTTCATGTTCACCTTAAAACGCTTTTTCCTTTTGTATTGTAAGCACCCCCGTCCCAAAAGTGATTTACTCGGGGTCCTAACCTGTTCCTCAGAGAAAGGACCCTGTTATGACCCTGATGCTACTATGAGATTTGAGAGGTGACCGCTCACTGTAGTGTAACAATGAACTGGCCCTGGTTTTGTGTACCCAGGCGGTCGTGGGCCTTTGAAAGGAGGTGGGGGTTAATATTATTGCCAGGCCCTTTACTATTGAGACCCTAGTCTCAGGAATTGAGTTAAACTCATTAGTTTCCATATGGGCATTTTTAGCTGTAAGCCTGAAGTTGCCATGAGTTGTGACATTTAAAAACATGTATGGGACATTTTGACTTTCAATTGATTCAAATTATTTTTTCCATTTTGTGTTTTGAAGACTATGAAAGTGATGACGACTCTTATGAAGTATTGGATTTAACAGAGTATGCAAGAAGACACCACTGGTGGAATCGAGTGTTTGGCCACCGATCAGGACCTATGGTAGAAAAATACTCAGTAGCTACCCAGATTGCAATAGGTGGTGTGACTGGCTGGTGAGAACACGTCTTTCCTTAAATTTCAATGGGAGCCTAGTTTGTTCTAAGTGGGCTGGAGTTAACTGTGCATATAGTTGCCATGCATATTCAGTGGGGTCAGTACTGTTTATTCCAGAATAGCATTACTTTGAAGCCTTTCTCCATGATGTAATTGGTGTGATCTACCTTCAGAGATAACATCTTGTTTGATTTTGAGGATCCCCTGCCTCCCTGCCCACCACTGTTCCACTCTTCCATCTTTATCCTTCCTTCCTTTATATATTTTCCCCATTCAGGTTCAGCAGACATAATGGATCTGAGTGACTCTTAGTGACTAGACAGGAAGAAATATGTGAATTTTGACATGCTAGCCAGTGCCAACCAGTGGAAAAACCCTGTGAGAAATCCCACCAGCACAACTCGTCTCTAGGATTGTCAGCCCTGTGGAGAGCAGTATAAATGCTCAGTAGAAATTATTGATGATGATACTGCTGATTCTGACTTTCGTGGGCCGGTTCAGATTATGCTAATGCTGTGAAGAATGGCTGTAGATCATTTGTTAGAATGATCATCACTGTCTTAGAATTAAAGGACTGATTAAACCGGATATGGTGGCACAGGCCTGTGCCTATGATCCTAGCACTCAAAAGGCTGAGTCAGGAGGAACACCAGGAGTTCAAGGCCAGCCTGGACTACATAGTGAGACCCCTGTCTCAAAAAAGAATGTTCATTACTAGAAAATGTTTGAAGTTAGTGAGGGTGCTTGTGAATAATTTTTTTTATTAAATTCTAAGTTAGATTTGCCTCACCTTGATTTTTTTATTTGTGTTTTACATGTACCTTGAAATAATGATTCACTGTCTTTATAAATGCTATCTTATGATAAAAACATTGTGAAGATTCTGTGGCACAGATGTGTAGTATGTACTCATGATGTGTACACATTAATGCCACTGTATGAAAAAGCCTGTAATTAGGGATTTCTCATTAGCCCCTGGTTGTTCAGATACTTCACCATAGGCTGATTGTATCTCTGTCCCCATAATTCAGGGTATGTGCCTCAGCTTAAATAAGCTCAGAATCTGATGCCATGGGTGATTGGTAAGAAGGCCAAAAGCTCAATATTAAAAAATAATTGAAAAATAGAATTAATCAGGTCATTGCATGCTTTCTCTCTGCAAACCAAACTTGGTAAGAAGCCCTGTAATTGGTAGAAATTAGTTTGGAAAGCCTGGAATGGATGGTTGCTAGGAGACATGGAAGGTGTGCAGACCAGTTAGCTTTCCCTTAGAGTGGTTTGGAAGTAAGGTAATGGAAGTCTGAACCATTACCAAGGTAATGATACCCTTAAAAGTGGAAAGGAGAAAATGATAATGATAATGTTTTAGAGATAGAATATATAGAATTTTGCAATCATTTGTACCAAGGATGCAGAAGGTCGAATCTGAGATGAATATGAGGTAGCAAGCTTGGAGAATAGTGCTTTCCTCTAGAAATCTTTCCCTCTGTTGTCATCACTTGGTGTTCTCCCTCTGTATATCTCTATGTTTCTATGATATGATTCTAATTAAGGGTCTCCTGTATAATCAATTACATCTGCAGTGGCCCTATTTCCAAATAAGATCACATTTTGAGATTCCAGGAAGGACATGAATTTTAGAGAGGACACCAACTCAGTACTGAAAGCTAGAGTTAGAAATCTGGGATTCTTTTGCACAGTATGGATCTGGAATACTTAGGGGAATGTGATCTCATTGACGAAGTATAGATGGACACTGTTGCAGGATAAATGAGACAAAACAGGCTTAATATTAAAAATAGTTACAGATAAGGAGGCTGTGAGAAGTATGAGCTAGAGTGCAGTGAGAAAACTAGAACTACATCTGGACCTTGGAGGGTAGGAAAGCTGTAGATAGGCAGGAACCATAGAAGCGACCTACTTGGAAACTAATTAGGATGGAACAGAAAGTTGGGTAGAGTATGTATTGGCCAGGTGTGTGGAACATCTTGACTATATTAAGCAAAACAAATTACTCTTACTACAAGAAATTTCAGTTTATGCAAATATAGGAGTATAATGAACCTCTTAGTATTCATCATTAAATTTCAGTAGCCACTCTTTTTTGCTATAAATCCAGTTCTTCCTTATTTTGCGGCAAATCTCAGAATTTTTGAATTGTGCTTTTGTTTGGGTTTTTTGAAATAGGGTGCCCAGCTTGGCCTCAAAGTCATTATCCTATTGCCTCAGCCTCCTAAACTGCAGGGATTACAGGTACAAGTCACCACGTTGGCAGATTGTTCAGTTTTGACTAGCCCAAGTGACAGAAGGGAAACATTGAGTGTTTCTCAGCAGGCAAGAGACATGATGAAAGGAAACTGGAAGGCATTAAGATTTTATTAGGAAAGCAATAAAAAGTAGAGGCAAGCATTTAGAACAGTGGTGGCAAATCTGTGGCAGGCGTGCTGCAGCTGGCTATTTGTATCCTTGAAATCTCTAAAAGGTTCGCCATCATTGTTTTAGAGCATCATTGATTGTTCTCATCTTTTGTTATTTCTTTCATTAAAGGTGTGCAGGATTTTTGTTCCAGAAAGTTGGAAAACTTGCAGCAACAGCAGTGGGTGGAGGCTTTCTTCTACTACAGGTATGTTCCAGCATTATGTACTTACTTCAGCTTATGTAGGCAGCCTTGGGAACTGAGATTGTCAAGTTTAGCCATTTCACTCCAGTCCATTTTAAGAGAAGGTAGAATTTTTCTTTTAGGCAAAAGTGATTTCGAAAGCTGGCATCTGTCATGAAAAACCACAAATTAAATACTTCTAAATTCTCTAAGCATAGCTTGATTGTAGCTGTTAAGATAGTTATTAAAATCAAATATTAAAATGAGCCAGGTATGAAGCTGGTTGTGGTGGGACACACCTGTAATCTCGGCACTCTGGATGGCTGAGGCAGGAAGATTGCAAGTTCTTGAGCCTAGCCTGAGCAATTTAGTTACTTAGCAAGACCCTGTCTCAAAATTAAGAAAAATAAAAAGGTGGAATGTAATTCAGTGCAAAGGCCCTGGGTTCAATCCCCAGTACTATTTTAAAAAAACAAATAGGGAGAGAGCGCACAAGTAAAAGAATTAAGATGTGTTATATACATGTATCTACTCCCCATGATGAATGTAATCATTATATATTACTAATTAAATTTTTTTAAAACAAAGGAGAAGAACCCCAGGCATGGTGGATGTAGCTCAGTGGGAAGGATGTGAATTCAGTCTCTAGCACTGATATGTAGATAGACAGGAAGAAATAATTAAAATTTTTTTAATTGAGTTTATTGGTACATTTTAGGTATACAGTACAGTTACATTCATCATTGGGATCTTGTACCTCTACATGACAGGTTTTGGTTCTCATTTTTTCCCCTTGTAGGGGAAAGGTAATAAGGGAAAAGAAGAAAGGTAAACTTTTGTTTTTATTACTTACCCAAATTTTCCTTGAAACATCTCCCTAACAGAATAAAGATTTCAACCAATAATTTAATATATCTCATCCCGAGCATTTAAAGCCTATATTTAGAATTCACATGCACAACAAAATTCAAAAGGTCTCATACCCTATTCATAAAACTTAAAGGTCTCTGCTTTCCCATTTTCTAGTTATGCAGTTTTTCTCCCCAGAGGAAGCTGGTATTAACAATTTTTAACATTTCTTTTAGAAATAAAGAACTATAATAATTTAGAAAGTGAAAAATTGGATTTTTCAAAAAATCCATAATCTTGTTTCTTTTCTTTT